ATATTTTGTTGGTTAAAGGTGTAAGGGCTCAGGCTCACTATCCAACCCTGGTATAAATCCATGGGAGAAAAGATCTTTTAGCAAATGTATGACACTTATACAATTGCATTTCAGCATTTCTTTTTTTTTTTTTTTTTAATCCAACATTACTAAACCTGTGGAATCAACATTTAAGTAGTGGTTTATTCTTGCATTCCATATGTTAGCATATAAATATGTTATTTTATTTTATCTAGTTTTCTAGAGAGTACAGTATTCATACTATTAAAAGTTTTAAGGCCAAGTTTGATGGCTCACACCTATAAACCCAGCACTTTGGGAGGCTGAGGCAGGTGAACCACTTGAGCTCAGGAGTTCAGGACCAGCCTAGGCAACATAGTGAAACCCTATCTCTACCAACAATACAAAATTAAAATTAAAATTAAAAAAATAGCTGGGTGTGGTGGTGTGTACCTGTGGTGTGTACCTAGCTATATGGAAGGCTGAGGCAGGATGATTGCTTGAGCCTGGAGGTAGAGGCTGCAGTGAGCCAAGATTGCACAAATGCACTCCAACCTGGATGATGAAGTGAGATCCCATCTCAAAAAAGAGTTTTATTTATTAGTAATTATACTATTTTTAAAGACAAATGTAAAACATATTTTATTTTAATAAAATGAGTGGTAAATACTATGAAGAAAATGTCATTCAATAATTTTATGTAACAGAATCTGATCTAAAATTGGATGGTCAGAAAAAAAGAGTAAAAGTAGTTATGTATAGTTACCTTTGACAACTGGAATCACTCAGTTTCTGCTCAAATCCTCAGAGAAGTGGCATGTGTTACTGATAACTAAATATTTGTTTCTCAAAATATATGGAAAAAGTAAATGACAGAAATATACACAAGTAAACATGTCGTTTCATACTGAGTGGATAATCATGATTTTCATAATGTCAACATTCAGATTTGTTTTAAGAAACTTTTATGTGAATTCTTATTTTTGTTTAGTTTCATGTCTCTCTGTTTTTTCTGAAGCACAGCAGACTAACTGGCTGGACAAAGTAAGGATGGGCCCATTGTTCCCATCACTTCAAAAGTTTCCCTGTGCAGAGTGCTGAAAAGTTAATACCTCCAGAGAAAACTAATCAGAAGCACAGCTGTTCAACAGGAATGAGAGGTTATGGAAAGCAGAGCCCAGGAATGACAGCAGCCAGAAAATTATGGATGATTTTCCAATAAAGCAGTGCTTGAAAGTGGGGCCAGGAACATTTGGTGTACTGGTCAAGTGAATGTCTCATGTTTCTTGTCACACTAGGTCCCCAAGAAGAGGTAATGACATTGACAAAGATTGGATGTGGAGGTACTGGTTTGTCACTAAGTGATGATAAAAAGTAAAGCTAGATATCACTATGTTTGATATCTCTCATTTGTAAGAAACAAGTAACAGGGATCCTGGAGGCTTAACTAAGAGCAAAAATGTAACACTAAAACGTGAATCTTTAAGCTAACAACATTTACACTTCTCCCCCAACCCCATCCAAATCGGGGCTTTGTGCCCACACATTATCGGGCATGATGGAGATGGGCCTAAGAGAATGACCCATGACCATCTGGCCAAACACAGCTGCAGAAAACAAGCCTCGTCATCTGGGAAAAGCTGTGATGGACAGAGAATTGGAAATGCTGCCAAGAGAAATGGTGGATTCCTCACTAGAAACACTAGAAACAGTCAATACGGGTCCACTCCAACACAGGACAGACTTTTCCAGTGATGACTGATGCAGCTTGTCCTTTAGGACCTGTCTCTCACATTACAGTGGGGAAGATGAACCATTAGAGTCATATAATTACTTCCATAGATTTTTTTGGAAATTCAAGTTTTCTGACCCAAAATTGGCCCCACACAACTCCTGTGAATATCAACACAATTCAAAGGCTGGAAAGTGGAGAGTAGTCAGTAAAAACAAGTTCTTTTGCTTAAATTCAGCCTTGTCCTCATTTAACATCAGGTCAGCATCAAATGATCTCTAATTTCCTTTCCAGACAAACAGTATAGTTTCCTTTTTCATCAATTTCATGTAGAGTTAAAAAAAAAAAAAAAGGCCACTAAAACTCAGGAGGCTGAGGCAGGGCAATCACTTGAACCAGGGAGTCAGAGATTGCAGTGAGCCAAGATCATGCCACCGCACTCCAGCCTGACAATAGAGAGAGACTCTGTCTCAAAAAAAAGAGTCATCATCATCCTAGCCAACAGCAAGTGTGAGAAATAGTATATACTCACTCCAAGGTCTTCATGGGAAGCCCTAAGTATCTATGCCTTCTAGTAGTGTTTTAAGAAAAGAAAACTGATAACAAAGACCATTTGCCAAGACAAAGGCATAATTTTCTTTGTCAAGATTATGTTTGGAGTGAAGAACATGAAGGGAAAAAAACTAAACACGTGGCATAGGTTGTACACAAATGTACTTGAAAAGGAACCCTCTACCACATGTAAAGGAGAGTCTGATTAGAGGGTGAGAAGCTGAAGCTGAAGTTCCAAGTTTAGGATCTGGGAATGAAGTTCTAGTGCATGTTGACACCCGTCAATGTAAGAACAGACTGGAAAAGAACTAAGTAACAAGAGGAAAAGTGAAAAGTCCTGGCCAAGATTTTCATTTGTTCAATAAAGTTTTACAATACCCATATGTCAATTCAATTCAGTTCAAAACAATGATTGGCCACCTACTACATGTCAAGCGCCATGCTAAGCACAGTCGAGGGTACAAAGTGAGATAACACAGTACATCTAAAAATTGTATAGTCTCAGAAAGAAAACTGGTACATTTTATTAGTGAAGAGTTTGTCCTACTCTTCACTTTAAAAGGACTTGAACAAAATGGCATACTAATGTGACATGGTAAAAGCCCCATAAAACTGCATACTTCAACCATACCTCAGCTTTCTGTTGAAACTGCTCTCTGTGACCCTAATATGACAGGCAAGCAGTCCAAACCCACGCCATCTTGGCTCCTGTGACTTGTAATAACTAAAGTCTGTAATTCCCACCACTACCCAGACAATGTGTAAACTAACGCTTATCTTGACTTCTGTAAACCACTTCAGTAACAATCGGAGTGACGGAGGTCCCCTGGCCCTTGGAATGTCTGGAGCCCCTCACCCTCATCTCCGCCCAGGAGGTGATTTACAGAATCCACTAGCCCTCGGAATGTCTGGAGCCCCTCACCCTCATCTCCGCCCAGGAGGTGATTTACAGAATCCACTAGCCCTCGGAATATCTGGAGCCCCTCACCCTCATCTCCGCCCAGGAGGTGATTTACAGAATCCACTAGCCCTCGGAATGTCAGAAGCCCCTCATCCTCATCCCCGCTCCTCACCTTCACCTCCGAGGTGGTTTTAGGGGTATAAAAGGTCTTGACACCCTGCTTTCGGGGACACAGGTTGGAGGGACATGAATCCCCCGTGGCCGCCGGCAATAAAGACCCTGCAATTTGACATACTTTTGTCTTGGAGTTGACTTTCTATGCTCGGTTCAGTACAACACTAAAAGGACAGAATTTAGAGTCATCAGATCTAGATTCAAATCCTGACTATAAGCAGTTATAAGATTTTGTACAATTCACTCAATATTTCTGGCCTGGCTTTTCTTACTTGTTAAACAGGAATAATATTTTGCTTGCCTACAGAATGGATTGAAATGAGAGTGTGTGAGAACTGCAAAGCTCAGACACACAGTTGCACATCATAGTATCTCAACCTAACTACCTAACTATTCTGACTCTACTGCTCTGTTGTGCTGCACCTCACATCCCTAAACAACTCCCCGCTCTGCCAACCCTTTCCTTTGCCTATGTAGCCCTCTTACTTGTCTTTCCAGAATGTACATCTTAGGTTACCTCCACCTGGTAGCTCTCCCTGACCCAAACCTTACCCTTAGAAAAAGATCTAGTACATACATACACACAAATTATATCATTAACAAACTGCATTGTAATTCTGTGCTTACTTAACAACTCATTAGATTATGAACTGCAAGATGACAGAAACCATGTCTCCCGCCTCTTTAAATCCCAAAAGTGGGATTTTCCTTGTAGTAGTGATGAATTTATTCTTTGTTATTCCAACTTCTTTATAACCAGTAGTATACAGGTAGGTTAGGGATAAAGTTTATGACCATAAAAGAGAATGAACAAGGATCCTCACACAGCTCTCCTCAGGTCATTAACAATATGTGCTAATTTCACTATGGCCCAGAGAATAAACAAGTATATAAGGGTCACTATGAACATCTAATAAAGTGACCACAGGTAGGTACCTAAGAAGTTTGCCTTACTTATTAAAAATACCTCTTTATTTACAACATTAGTAGTATCAATCTCAGTAAGCAAAAAACCATAAGAGGATTAATGAAGAGAATAGTGAAGAGAAGGAAATTAAGTCATGTTCCTTATGACAGACACAGCTCCCTAAGAACACACCATTGAGTGGCAAGTCCCTCTCTAGATCCTGGGAGTAGTGTTCACGTTAAGTGAACAAAGTATTGACCAAAATTGAACATGTTCCTTGTACTACACAGTTTCATCTTTAAAATCTTCTCTTCAGCAGAAAGATACTTGTAGAAAGAATTTCAAATGGGAGGTAAATAGACATACAAGCCAAGCCTTGATTTGTTACTGAGCATAGTAAAACAAGCTGCAGTCTTCCTCAGGGCTATTACAGCTCAGTGCTTGAAAGTAGCACAATAAATATACAATTTAATATAGTATAAATTTGCTTTATGTTACAGAAATAGAACCTTGAAAATTTATTGCAATTAATAACCAATTTTTATGGAAAGTTAAAATTACATTTGCCTCTCAAATTTTAAATCCAAATGTTTCAAATAATGCTTGGAAACTGGCAAATAGGTCATTTATGAAGTTACTAGTTTTAAGCTGATGTATCTGCTTCTTGTTCACTAAACTGGACCTCAGTGAAAAGCAGCAAGTACACAACCATCTGTTAAAGATCAATGGCCTACCTCTTTATAGCTGAATGAATGCTACAGGAGCAGGTTATTTCCACTTGCTTTCACCTCCTCAGTGAATGCAGAATCTGAAACAGGTGTTTAAATGCACGGGGTTTGGTGGACCAGGGCCACATTTTGACGGCAGGGCTATCTGAATGAAAATATGATCATTCAATAGCTATAAAAGATAGCTATAAAAGATACAAGTTATTTTACAGAAGTAAAATATTTCATATGGAATTGGACGTCGGAAGAGACAATAATCATTATGGAGTACTCAAAAGTCAAGTTTAGCATAAAAATTATTACTATAAATTTTCAGCTCTTAGCAATTTGGAGCTTTATTTTAAAGGATCTTTCAATGTTAAAGAGGTCTTTCAGGATCATATGTCTGAAAATAAAATATCCAAACATACTCTATCAGATTTCACTTTTTGGTAGACAGACATTGGAAATGGATTTATAAACACTAAAAATGTGCTAGCTGTAATAAATTAAAATATTGGAAAAAGTAGTTATTTCCATCTCTCTCTCTTATTAAACAAAGTCTGCCCATAAAATACACAGCATTCCCCAAATATACTTTGGCACTGCTAGGGAAAGCCATCTCTGGTATGTAACAAATAACAACCAATTGTTCTGCTCTGGAATTTTAAAAAGTCAATTATTTTGTTGTCATTGCTAAAAATTCTACAAGAAAAGCAGCTTTTCACTATCCGACAAGCTAATACTTTCTAACAAAATCAATTTGTTTATTATACTATTTGTTCCCTCTTAAAAAGCATCCCAAATTTGTTTCCCAAAATAAAAATAGAAAGGTCGAGCTTCTTTTTTTTTTTTTTTTTAAAGGGTGGGTTTTAATGTTTATTTACAGGAGGCTGCAAGATATGAAATTCCACATAGAAATAAGAAATGTAGCCAGAGGACAAGCTTCATACAGTATGTACAGTTGGAACTGTTCAAGTATAGTTTCAGTGTAAAAAGTGCTACAATAACAAACCACATTTAGAAAGAGTTCTTTAATATTAGCTCGTGAACAAACTAAAACACAGAGGACAGAAATAAATCAATAAATCTATAAAAATTCTTAATAATATAAAATTCTGGTTATGCAAAGATACTATCATTGGGGGAAGTTGGCAAAATGGTGCACAAGAATACTCTGTACTATTTTGTAACTTTTAGTGAATCTAAAATTATTTCAAAACAAATGCTAGAACAGCAGTTATCTTTCCACCTATCCTGTCCTGTATCCTATATATGAAAGTCCTGAGTGAGTAGAAAAGTCTTTTGCCATTCATCATTCCAACTGCCAATCTAGAATACTAAGGTTTAGAGTTTACACATTTAGAATGCTATAGTCCATGTAGCCTCTGAATAGAGAAAACAGTACCACCATGAATAACAAACACAATACTTTTAATCACTTGCCAAAGAAAAGACACTTGCCAAAGAAAAGACTCTAAATGGAATCAGCTCTGACATAAATATTAGTCAACCTCAGAAATTCCATCAGCACAGTCCCTGTGGATAATAAAGAATCGTCTCAGGGCCAGTTGGAAGAACTATATAAGAATCTCAGGAATAAAGAATTGCATCTTGCCTGTAATCCCAGCACTTTGGGAGGCTGAGGTGGGTGGATCACCTGAGATCAGGAGTTCAAGACCAGCCTGGCCAACATGGTAAAATCTCGTCTCTACTAAAAATACAAAAAGATTAGCAGGGCATGGTGGTGGGCACCTGCAATCCCAGCTACTAGGGAAGCTGAGGCAGGAGAATCATGTGAACTCGGGAGGCAGAGGTTGCAGTGAGCCAAGATCGCGCCATTGCACTCCAGCCTGGGCGACAAGAGTGAAACTCCGTCTCAAAAAAAAAACAAGAGAATTGAGTCCTACTCATGTGGTGGATCTAAACTGCTATTCTTCACCCATATTTGTACACTAGCAAATCTGAAATTTTGAGCTATGTACAAAACTGAGCAAACACAAGGTTAATATATATATGTAAATTATATATCTGTTTGGGATAGTAAATGTGCTTATCCTAGGGGCTCTAATTCCTTTCTAACAAATCTGAAGGTGAGCTACAATTTTCTATTCTTTTTCCTCCTCTATTGGTTCCCTCTCTGTTTACAAATGAAAGTAATCCACAGCTACCCTACACCCTGAGCCCTGTATCTTTCCTTTTTAAAAAAAATCAGCCAGGATCCCTATAGGAAACAGATGGCACACTGAACGCAGAATGGTTTGAGGATGCTTTATTTATAACAGGATGCTATACAATGTGTGGAAGGAGGTGAGAGGGAAGAGGTAGTAAGTAGGTAACCTGAAGGCTCTTAATACTCAAGGATCTGTTAATACTCCCAAGCACAGTGAAAGAGGAGTGAGATGACCACAACCCAAGAGGAAGCTTATTGTGTCAGATGGTCACCTTTGAAAGAGAGACAGCCACTGAAAGTAAACTCAGGAAAAATGCCCAGAAATATGATCAAGGCTCCCATTGACTCCCATCCAGAAGCTAGAGGCACCAGAGACTAGCCTATACCTATCAAATTTCTAGATCCCAGAGCAGGGTGAAGCAGGTATGAATAGAAAGAGACAGATGTGGAGAGGTGACTCCAACCCAGGCAGTATACCTTTGACATGTTATGAATACCATGCTAAACTCACTCTTGTTTTCGTGGTAGCAGAAATGAAAATAATAATGTAAATTATCAAATATGAAAAAATATGAAAAAACATCTATTATAGATATTCAAACGACATTTATAACCTCAGATACTTGTGTAAGATAACATCCAAGTCATCACTTAGTGTGATTTTTGGAAAACATTTTAAAATGAAACTAAATAAAGCAAATTAGTGAAGATATATCTGATTTTATAAATACAGTCGTGCATTGCTTAGGGACAGGGAAATGTTCTGAGAAATGCTTCATTAGGTAATTTCGTCATTGTACAAACATCATAGAGTGACTTACACAAATCTGGATGGTACAGCATACTACACACCTAGGCTATAATGTGTGACCTATTGCTCCTAGGCTATAAACCTACACAGCATGTGACTGTACTGAATACTGTGGGCAACTGCAACAGTATTGAAACATCTAAATATTCAAGAAATACAGTGAAATTATCTTTTTTTATTTTTTTGGAGATGGAGTTTCACTCCTTTTGCCCAGGCTGGAGTGCAATGGCACGATCTCAGCTCATCGCAACCTCCGCCTCCTGGGTTCAAGTGATTCTCCTGCCTCAGCCTCCCGAGTAGCTGGGATTACAGGCATGCGCCACCATACCCAGCTAATTTTTGTATTTTTAGTAGAGATGGGGTTTCTCCATGTTGGTCAGGCTGGTCTCGAACTCCTGACCTCGTGATCTGCCCTCCTTGGCATCCCGAAGTGTTGGGATTGCAGGCATGAGCCACCGCGCCCGGCCAAAACTATCTTTTAAAAGACAGAAAATGGTACACCTGTATAGGGCACTTACCATGAATGGAGCTTGCAGGGCTGGAAGTTGGTCTGGGTGGGTAGAGAGTAAGTGGTAAGTGAATGGGAAGGCCTAGGACATTATTGTACACTACTGGAGACTGTATTAACACTGTGCACTTTGCCTACATTAAATGTATTTTAAAAATGCTTTATTCAATCATAAATTAACCTCAGCTTACTGAAACTTTTTTACTTTATAAACTTTTTAAAATTTTTAACTTTTTGACTCTTTTGTAGTAACACTTAGCTTAAAACACAAACACAACTGTACAGCTATACAAAATACTTTTTCTTCATATTATTATTCTATAAGCTTTTTTCTGTTTATAAAAAAAACCTGTTTTTAATCTTTTAAACTTTATTTAAACTAAGACACAGACACATTAGCCTAGGCCTACAATATCAGTGTCTTCTGCCTCCACATTTTGTCCCACTGGAAGGTCTTCAGGGACAATAACATACATGGAGCTGTCATCTCCTGTGGTAACAATGCTTTCTTCTGGAACATTCCTGAAGGACCTGCCTGAAGCTGTTTTACAGATAACTTTTTTAAATAAGGAGGAAAAGTATACTCCAAAATAATGATTAAAAGTATAGTACAATAAATACATTAACCAGTAATATAGTCATTAATTATCATTATCAAAAATTATGTACTATACATAACTGCATGTCCTAGACTTTGATACAACTGGCTGCACAGATTTGTTTATATCAGCACCACAAACAGGGAAGCAATGTGCTGCGCTATGACACTCCAACAGCTATGACATCATTAGGTGATAGGAATTTTTCAGTTCCATTATAATTTTGTGGAATCACTACAGTATGTGTGGTTCACCATTGATGGAAACATTATTATGTGGTATGTGACTGTATGCATATAATTGGTTGCAAAAATTAATACACGATTTTAAATTATTTTGCTTTTTTATTATCTCAGCCACTTAACACTGACATTCTCATGAAGAATCAGTAGTTTCCTAATTATATCCTATTTTTTTTTTAACTCGTCCTCGTGTGTCATATTCTAAGAGGTAGGAAATAGAGAACCAAGCAAAGCATTAAAGCCCCAAGGGTGGGATTCCACATCATACATCATTCCTGTAGAGATATATCATGTTAATTAATATTGCTTTTTCCATTTGCAAAAACAAACCATGCCTCTCAGATAAAGACTTGAGAAGATGTGATGAGATTCATTTGCTATCTCTGTTTAGTAACTGGGCCTACAGTGAGATCTCACAAATATATTTACTTAATACACACATCAATTAGTATGGTCATTTTTTGAAAACACCAATAGCTAAAAATAAATCCCAGTGCCTTCTTATTTTCTTTGAAACAATTTGCCTTTCCTCAAGATAAAATATTTGAAATAAATTAACAGAATCTAGTTTGTTGCCTCATCCAGCATTGTCCCTCCAAGGGGAGGCTTCATAAATATATGCTGAATAAATAACAGTGGCATTCCTCAATTCTGAGGCCTTTAAATATTTACAGTGTGTGTCCCACAACCAAGGACTTAACAATTAAACGTATCATAGGATTAAAATACCATAGTTTTCTATTAGCTACTGTATTCTGCCATCCTAGGAATTTAACTTTCCTGTGCTTAAAAAATAGGACGGTGCCGGGAAAAAGGATCAAATGTTTGCTGAATACAGGAAATCCATACCAGGCTATAAAGCAGAAAACATCAAAAGCTGCACCAGAAACTCTGCACAGATGAAAACTATGAGACTTCGTTTCTTACTACTGTTTAATGAGAAAGACAATAAATTCAACATGAAAACCACAACTTGTACTCTCTCGTCAGGATCTCCTCAAAAATATGTGCAGGAAAGATGGCTAAAATGCTTTCAGGCTTGCCTGGGAAGAAAGAAAATATGTGTTTGGGTCATACTCAAATATAGCACTAGACACACTTGTTCCCAACACCTGGAGATGTGACACTGAGAAAATTGTCATGGTGGGGACATCTAATTGGCATCAAACTTCAAGGAGAACTAAGAAAGGAAAGGAAGTCTAAATACCCTGCCAAAATATCATTGGGTACAGAAGATTAGAGGTGGCCTGCTATGGTATGAAGTGACCTCAGGAGATTCTGGCTGCTAGCAACTGATTCCCCGGCCTGAGAATTTCAGAGCCAATTACAAATTCATATTGGAGAAACCTTGGAGATCTGACCATACCAAATATTTTCAAACTCCTAACCATATGGTGGGAAAGTTCGAGTGGAAATTAAAATTAAAGAGGTGAGATGACTGGACTCCCAGACAAATAAGACAACTGTGTGGCTGCCTATCAAATCAAAATTATTCCCCACATGGAAAGGATTCTGGAAATGTGGCCAGACTTGTAAACCAGAGCCAACAATTCTCCAATCTCACATTCTAGTCAGGCAAAACACTGTCCTAAGAAGAAACAGCCAGAAATCTCACTGCGATTTTCTCCCTGCCCTTGATTCTTCTTTGCTCATCAGGTGACTGGTTTTGTGTTATGTGCCTCTCTGTGTGCTCAGTGCACAGTTGTGCATCATGTAAGAACACATAAAAGGCTCGTGCTGGTGCTGATGAGCAGCAACTTGCCTGAAAGGGACAGGGTTACGGAAGAAAATCAGTGCGAGCTTCCTCTTCTTTCTCCACATCTCAGTTATTATGATGAGATAAAGTTGGATAAAAGGAGTATTAGGGGCAGTGATTTTAAAATGATGTCAGAAAATTACAGCTTGAGGGTGAAATGAGAGATTCTATCCTTTTGGGCATAAAATAGTAAAATTGTGGATTGATTATATTCGTGTAAGTCCTTTTGTGCATCTGTTGGCAGGATAACTTCCTTCTTCCCATCACCCTCCTCCCTAAGTCATTTCCCTGACACTAACACAAAAAATAGCGATGAAAGTTTAGGGAAAATTCTTTTACTATCTAGAGATAGCTCTGCTTATAGGACTCAAAGACACAACTATGCTTCAATAAGAATAGTGACTCTTGAAGCCGACACTAATGAAAACAATCCAGGATTTCAGCTTATAATTAAGCATGCTTAAGCTTCAGTGATAATTACCATGGAGATTTTAATTCCCCTCAGCCAATTAGCTTAGTTATTGAGTGCAAGTGAAACCGAGGTCATGGTTTTCTGTACTTCATAAACCAAATCTGGATTTGATTAATTCTACGACCACAGACTATACCAGCATTTTCACAAATTGCACCAAAGACAATGGGCAAACCCACATAGGTTAAAAAAGAAAAGTCTAAAATGCCCAGACTTGTGGTCAGAAGCCTAGCTTGGGATATTGGTTTCCTCAGTGACTGCTCATGCAGCCTTGGAACAGCTCACTTAATTTTCCTGAGGCTCTGCTACTTCACCTGAGAAGTGAATATTTAAAGTATCTGTTTTAAAGAATTGTTACAAAAATCAAGTGAGTCAAGTATATGAAAACACCTCATAAAATACGGTCCACTACCTCGCATCCAAGTACTAACCAGGCCTAACCCTGCTTAGCTTCCAAGATCAGACAAAATCAAGCGTGTTCAGGGTGCTATGGCCATAGACATTCCTCCAATAACTGGTATGAAAAAATAAATTATTATTGAACAATCAGCTCACTCAACATTATCTTAGAGTGAAAAGTAGCACATCATGAATGTGCATAAAAGACCATTCTAATCACGTAAATATTTGTTGAATTAAAGAAAGAAAGTGATATGTCTGTAATTTCAAATAAAAGATTTCTTTGCAAGTCAATTTCCTAGACCTGTGGTTTGCAAGAGGTGTTTTTCTATAAGCTCAGGGATCTTCGAAGAAGCAGCTACTCAGAGGAAAGAGAAAGACAAGTAGACAGAGCTCCAGAACTCTCACCATTGACTTCAATCAGAGCACCTATTGGTATAAACGAGGTTTTCAAACTCGCAAATGTTTACCATAAACATTCAGCTCTCCCAGATTGCTTCGTGTGTCCCCATACCCAGATGCTGCCCAGTGAATCTCTGCTGCATCCCGGCATTTCTTTGGTGTACGACTCTTAAAATTTAAAAGGCAGTATCACTGATGTTATAGTTCACCAAACATCTTAGATCTCAGACAGGTCTAAATTTGGACATCGGAGTGAAGAATAAATACTCTGACGTCCCTCGAGACTTTACTTTGGTAGCCGAATTCTCTCTGACAGGCTCTAGAAAGGCAAATGGAAGGGTTTTAAGTATTATTCCCTACTTTTCCCAGTACCTCTTTCTGTATGTGCATACAGACAAGTGGGCCATCTCAGGAGGGTAACTGGAAAAGTGGCAGGAGCACTGGACTAGGAGTCAGCTCTGGGACCAACTAATAAGGTGATCTTTGACAAATCTCCAGAACTCTAGATATGAAAAAAAAAATTGACTGAGGATCCCCTCATGCCTTTTTATGGCGAAAGTTCTATAATCTATGTATTAATGACTTTTATAATAAATTAAATAAATAAATTTATTTAAGGAAATTACCCTGGCATAAGTCCTTAGCTGTTGCAAAGCTTAATTTTCTCCATTACACTGTGCAGGGCATAAAATATGCTAAGGATTCATGAGCGACACAGAAACACTCTGGTTATTGGCTCAAAGATTTATCATGATGGCTGCAGCTTCCTGTGCTGGAGTAACCTTCCTGGGAATGGGAAATACAATAGCTTGTCATTTTCTTAAAGAGTAAAGAATGGTTTTGCTTTTTGATGAAGAAATTGACTCCATTAAGAAAATTGCAGGATAAGTGTCTTATTAAAACACATTCTTCATGTCAAAAACTGGAGTTATATGGATTCAATAATATTGTTTCTCTTTAAACTAATGCAAATGATTTCATTAAAAATAAAATTTAGCATGGAAGATATTTAAAAATACACCGATTTGCTTATTCTTCTCAAGGGCAATGAACTCAAACTTGACTCTATAATAATTACAAATAGATTCTGCTTTGCTGTGTGCTTTATCTTGGCACTAAGAAAAAAAAACCTTCATCTATTTATATTCAGTCTGCTCCTATCTTTTGTTTATTTAGACTTAGATACAACAGACCTTTGCTTGCTTGTCACTACCATTGCTCACAACTTTTTCTAAAAGCCAAAATGCTGTCAGAAAGGCAAACTTCATCCATTCATTAATCTTTCGGCGCCACATCCTGGGAGGTCAGTATCTGGTCACTGTCTTCAGTTTCATATGATATGCAATATTTGGATCACGTGGATCCGATCTAAATAGCCCTGTCTTGGAACTCAGTCTAAGAAGGTCATTTGGCTTACAAAATACTACTTGGCCTACATCATAAACAACTGGTCCAGCACACAGGAACTACACTGTACTTTACTTATCCTTCCCAGTCCCCCAGACCTGACCATGGGAAAAAAAAATAAGTAGTATTATGTAAGTATCTATATTTGAGGAAGTAACTTTTTACTTCAAAAGAACATTTCTCGCTGCCTGTAACACTCTTTTGTATCTTGCATTCTTTTGTGTGTTGAAGG